TTTTTTTTTTTTGAACAAATAAAATGTATAGAATGTTTCATTATTAATAAAAAGTAGTCTTAAAGTTTTTCTTTTTCTGTTAGTAAAAATAATAATCATTTATAGGGGTAAGAACCACTATGGACCACTAAGTTTTCTCTGGGTGTTGGAAGGTGTCTAGTTCTCTCTTTCAACGGCCCTGTCTCAGTGGCGTAGCGTAGTGGTGGCGGCAGTGGCGGCAAAATTTCACAATAAATAATACTAATAATAATAATGTGTTATAAAAGTTTGAACCATTTCATTTCATATTTTTGTTGCACCTACGATTCGGACCGATTGAAATAAGCACGGAATTTTTCATTACTTATTCTGTGACGAAACTGAATTTTAGTCTTTTAAACAGATACCTAAATAACGGGGGAAGAAATTTTCCTCCGCCCCGGGCAGCTGACACCCACGCTACACCACTGCCCTGTCTATAGATGAGTGTTAGTAGAGGGGTTCAAACCCCGTCCCGGGCCAGTTCTTTTATTCCAGAAGGTTCTAAATTTATTTAATTATTTATTTATTTATAATTATTAATTTACTTAAGAGATGGTGCCTAACGTCTACCTCTATTGTCAAATTACTTTATACTAATCATTTAATTAGCCATATTATAGCCCGATATTAAGGCGATCGTTTGGTGATTTATTCTATATTTCTCAGGCTTTGAGTTGTTATTATTTGGATGAGTATTACTGTCATCATTTTGAAAAATTGTTACGTTTTCTTTTACAGCTTTAAAACTAATTTTCTTTATAATTTGCATACATGAAGTGATTAAAAAAAGATTAAATGCCTACAGTTTAACAAACAAAGCATTGTGTAGTGTAACTTCAATGTAAATAGGTAATAATGACCTAGATTGACAACAATGTACAATTAGCATGAGCTGTCACTTCACTCAAAATTATCCAACTGTGACTCAAAGGATGGATAGGAAAATGGCATATGCATGCACACTAAGCAGTTCAGTCCTCAAATGGCATAAATCTTGACATGTGACATACAATGTCTTTCCTTTTCTAACATTTTTGTTGAAATCTTTGTCCTTCATTTTGCTAAAATTTTCTGTTTTTCTATTTGTTCCATGCAATATATATGGTGAGATCAATGTATTCGTGGTCTCAGCAATTATGGTTTGTTATCTGAGATTTAAAAGTGTTGTATAGGAGCCACTTGTAAATTTGCCAAAATTCTCTTTGATTTCAAGATTTGTGAGCTTTTACATGCAGACCAAGTAAGTTTATTTAGTTTCGTCTGATTTGTTGAGTAAAACAGTGATTTTTTTTTTTTTTTTTAATCATTCAATCAACTTTAAAATATTTTTATTCAAGTAAGATTTTAAATAACTTCTAAAATATGTTCTAAGTCTAACGGAAGATGGTATGTACTAATTGTAAGTAAGAAAGTGAAAATTCTTCATATGGTAAAAAAAAATTATTTGTGGAGATTGCCAAGCTATATGAAAATAACGAATTGTTGAAATTTGAAGTAATGAAGAACACAAACAAAATTTATGCCAGTTTTTTGTTGTATCCCAATCCACAAAAGTTTGTTGCAGTCTGTGATAAGATGTTACTCAAGATAGAAAAAGTATTAAATCTGTGGGTAGGAGATATGATTTGAAAAAAGAATGCCTATTGACAGTTACATGTTACAGCAAAAGGCACTGAGTTTATATGGAGACATTCACTTACAAGAGAATACAGAAGAGGAAGCTATGCCATTTATAGCAAGCAAGGGATGTCATAGAGTCAAAAATACATTTAATCTAAAAAATTCTAGAGCACATCAGCTGCATCTGCTGATGAGATGCTGCTGATGTGTTTCCAACAGAATTTAAAAAACATCAAGGAAAAAGGCTATCATCCCAAGCAAATTTTTAATTGTGACAAAACAAATTTTTAGAAAAAAATGCTTGAGAAGACCTCTATACATAAGTGTGAAACAGGCATCAGGCTTTAAAATGTGCAAGGAATAGATTAACACTGGTATTATATGGAAACACGGCTGGACATATGATAAAACTGTTGTTGTTTATTGAGCAAAGAATCCTTGTGCTCTTAAAAACAGAAAATATCTGCTTGTTTTCTGGCAGCACAATTCCAAGGCATGGTCACAGCTGTATTATTTGCTGAATGGTTTCATTTGATTCTTGGGTCTCCTGGTATTGCTATAACAACAATTTGGACTAAATTTTGTTGTTTATTAACGATTGTAATATCTGGAGTATTATGAACAAGGCATCTGTCAGTTTGTATTAAAAAATTCTAGAGCACCTTAGCCTTATTGTTTTCAGTTACTTTTTCAGGTTTATGCTTCCAGCAGTTTGTGCTGGCTGGTAAATTGAAATTTTTACATATGTTCCAGTAGATCATTGCTGCAACTTTATTATATCTTTCTAAGTAATCAGTTTAAGCAATTTTTGGACAGTGGCTAATTATATGATTGACAGTTTCATCCATTTCTTTGCATAATCTACACTTACTGTCTTTTGAGGTTTTATCAATTTTTGTTTTAGATGAACTCATTATTGTATGTAAGAATTGTAGAGTATCATATCAAGAATATCAGTCTCACTGAAATTTTCTAAATCTCATAGTTTTAAAAGTAATATTGTAAATAGCCTCAAATGCTACAAATGATGATAAAAAATTTTTACAATCTGTTACAGTGAATTGTTTGCAGTATGTTGCATTGTTATTTTGCATCTAATATATAGTTAAATATTGATTTTGAATTTTCTTTCAGTAATATTATCTTGATTAAATTATTTATATATATGTATGTGNTAAAAAATACAAAATATAAAGGATGCTCAAAAGATGTCAACAAAGAAAAATTGAAGGAAGAAATTATTAAAAATTGATGAATAACAAACAGTATATATATTATGTCTTTGTTCATTTTGGACTGTCTTGTGAACTAGGAGTTGTTATACTGAGGGAAGGGAATGTCACAATTTCTAGGTAAAACATCTTTTAAGGTCTTTAATAATAGATCTATTTAATTTCAAATTACTGATATTATTTTTGCAGTAATATAAATTCTCCTACCAGTAAAATTTCTTGAATGTTCTCCAGCGCTTTATAAAACAGTTTCATTCATCTAAACAGCACTTATTCACTACAGTAATTATCAACACCCCATCCAAAAGGGAATTATCTTGCCAATACCATGTCATCCTATAGCATCAACTGCTCTTTAAGCTTCTTAGGTGTCCTCTATTTTTAATAAACTGTACCAGGATTTATCTATCATTCTACTCAAACTTTTATTCATTTTTTATCCAACTGATAGATTATTCATAGGAAAAAAAAAATTACATTAAACATATTTTTTGCTTATCAGCAAATTAGAATATTAATAACCAAAATTTAAAGTTTACACTTATAAAAATGAAAAATAAATTTTAAATGTAAAACAGAACTTGAGAAGACCTATATACATAAGTGTGAAACAGGCACCAGGCTTTAAAACATTCAAGGAATAGATTAACACTGGTATTATGTGGAAACATGGCTGGACATATGATAAAACTGTTGTTGTTTATTGAGCAAAGAATCCTTTTTCTTTTAAAAACAGAAAATATCTGCCTGTTTTCTGGCAGCACAATTTCAAGGCATGGTCACAGCTGTATTATTTGCTGAATGGTTTTATTTGATTCTTGGGTCTCCTGGTATTGCTATAACAACGATTTGGACTAAATTTGAACATGAATCCCTTGTTAACTGCAAATTTTTCCAACTACTGTTTTAAAATAATGCAATTTCTAACCAAGAATTGAATTAGTGAAAACTGCAAAAAATTTGCGTAATAATCATCTTTGTCTTTGCTTCTTCCCATGTGTATATGGAGTCAGCATTTTCATCTTTAATCTGTCTTCACTTCTGTATCCAGGGCATCCTCTCTCTTCCATCCCCCCTCTTCTAAATCCTCTGCCACCTTTTCTCTTCATCTCAGATTCAGGTTTTCCCTGCTTCTGCCTCTCTAGCACTTCCAATTTCCCAATTCTCTTTTCAACATAGTCTTTAAGACAGTTTGGACATGTAGAGAGAAGTAATCTCCTTTACTGCATCATTTTACTTACAGGATCCACATTGACTGTTTTTATGTAATCATTCCTAATTCTGTCCTTTGTCATACCATACATCAGTCTCAACATTCTCTCTACTGTCTTTTCATGGGCTCTTGTAATTGCCCATGTCTCAGCACTGTACAACATTGCAAGTCTTACTGCGATTATGTATAATTTTCATATCATTCTGTCAATAATGTTTTTAAACTCTAGGTGCACTATTTGTCATAGTGTGCTTACTAATATAATATAGTACAGTAAGGTCTCGTTTTATGCGGATTATTTTTATGCGATTTTGAAGTTGTGTGGTTTGTATTTCATCCAAAAATTTCTTGGACAA